CAGTGTAAATCTATACATATATGTGCTTTATATTATTTCTGTCACTTTGTCCCATTCCTATGAGCAGACATTCATCGGATCACCGGTCAAACATCATAACCACCTATAATACAGATAGTAACAGAGAAAATTCATTTAAGAAATGTATCAGGAAATAAATGAACATCATGACGGAAAGAGGAAAGTAACTTCAGAGGAATGAAACTAAATACATATGTATAAGTTTATGGTAATTCACACGTTTATTCTGTTACCAGTAAATATGTTCAGTTTGAATCTTCAATCAATAAACAACTTTCTGCCGTTTGCAAACATATGAGGACGAAAGACATTATCTGATGAGCAAATACTGTATTATTGACAAATTTACATTCCATGAAAACATTATATTTTCTTTACTAAAACTGCATACATTTTGCAGATTTTTGAGTTCAGAAATGTCCATTAACATTTTTAAAGACATGAAAACATGTACTCTTATCCACTGCATGATTCTTGTTTGAAATCCACTGTATCATCTTACTTATGCCTTTTAGCGTCCATAAACAAATTAAGTTGCAGTAATTTGAATAAATGATAGAGTACTTCGATCACTCTTGTAAATTCCCTATCTATCAACTGAGAAATAAGTCTCAAATCATGACAATTCCAAACATAAAAAAAGCAAAGTAATGTAGTATTAGAGCCTACAAAGTGTTCATCTAAATTTAACCTAATAAGTAAACAATCTTTTAGCATTTATAAACAGACATTCCAGTCGGTATATCAACTTAGTGTTTCATTAACAGATTACCTTAGACCTAAATAATTTACTTTGTAAAGACAACATTAACTGACTTAATGACAAAAACAATTGAAATATGATTTGTTGACATGATGGCAGATGTCATATGAAATGTTACCTAAGAATTTGAAAGTCATATTAATCAATGTTTTGCATCTTTTGAGAAAATCAATTAATCTAAATTATTTTACATGATTTTAATAGTGAAAAATCTCTTGATAAATTGATCTAATTGACGCGAACATAACCACAAGCAAACCACTCTGCCAATATACTCATGCACTGACAGATTGCTTATCACAAGTGCTAGTTTAGATTGTGCTGCGGTCCTTAGAACTGATAGGAATGTTCCCACACAAACTATGTGGCATGGAAAGCCAACTGCACATTAACTCAAATCTGTAGTCCTCAGTCTCGTAATAATTAGGAGCACACTTATCTCATAATCAGAATGACACTTCATCGGTCTTCAGTACCAGTAGATACCTTTGAGCCTATAGTTAATTCCTTCCTACAAATTAACAGTGAAATATGCCTGAGAGAAAATCAAGAGAATAATGGTAGCTGCGTCAAAATTTATTACCGTTCCACCAATTCACTTGGCCTAGTTATTGCAATCCTCCCCCATCTCTCTCTTGATCATCAGATCTGGTGTAATAATGCAAACCACAGTTTGGATAGGTTTTCAAATGTGAAATCATCTCATATATAATTAAGTTCAAGAGCTGCTTTCAGTATCATCAGTGCATTCAACTGGTGACCTCGTGAAAAGCCTCCATAATCTACATGAACTGTAAACTATAGTGAAGCATTAAGTTCAACAAGCTTCCAGGTATATTTAGCTATTGTTAAACAACAAGCAGCCTAGTGAATAACTTCAATTTACTGAGGTTATCGATTTACTTAATGACAAGTGGTCTGTGTATATAACACATTTGACAATTGAATTCTCATGTGAATGGGTGAATAGTTACGCTGCGTGAGTCATGAACCATCTGTAAAAATGATGCTGAAATAAAATCAGTAGGGAGAATTACCCTGTAGAAATTCCTCTCATAACGAACCCAGGTGATAGGTTTATGGACTCTGTATATTCTGTATCACGGTCCCAGCATTCAGCTATCACAACTATTCAACATGAATGATAAATGGGAAAAGGATATTCTTGGTTGTATTGTGTTCTCTGAGCTGGATTGTTTAATCGTATAGCTTTCATCGTCTTTCTGAACGACATCATCAGCACTAACCTCAGTATGAAGAGGGATATTATTTACATCCTGGTCTACATACGGACTTGAATTTTGATTGACATTATCAATTACATGAAAATGAAAGTGGATCGTTTTCAGGGGGAATGACAATACTCGGTCTTCTGATTCTGTTTCCTGTTATTGGGAGTAGTTGTGTATTCCAATCTGCTGTGCTTCTTATCGTGTGGAATTCGATAATATGATACTAATGGCTTCTACAACCAACACATGGTTGTTGGAAGTGTGCGCTGTTTCCGAGTCGTGCGTCTTGAATCTTCTTATTCAGTGTCGATAGTGAATCATGTAGTGGTTTAATTGGTGGAGGTATTGACACTTACATAATCATAACTTAATGTGAAAAAAGTAACCTCTCAAGCAGATATTGGAATCACACAGTGGTATATAACTGGAGCCTGCGGTAAACATTTATCTAAAACAGGTTAAGCCTGTGTAGTGGATGATTTCAGAACTTTTATTGTGTACTTTGGATCTCAAACCAAACGTGGATTCCCTTTTACAGTAACTATGACCTACTCAAATATCTACCCTACTTAATTTCTGTCTCCTACATTGTATCAGAGGTTTACATGCTTTAGTTTACTTTAACTTTATAATTTGGTTCCTCTTAATGCATTCAAAGTACTTCATCAGGATCGACGTAGCTCTACAAAGAAATATGCAGAAGATTTAACTACTTTCATCATTACCCAGTAGTGGATTTCAAACTAATTATGCTTCAGATTCTTAAATGATTGCATCGAATACACCACTGTAAAATGCCATCCAAATCATCTGGACAAGTACCGCTTCATTTACATCACAAATATGCATGTAACACCTAACTGCAGTTACTCTCAATTACCTGGTTTCTCGAATATATTCACGAAATTCGCAGCTCCTACACTAATTTGTTACCTGTTGACAATATGTGACGGTTTCAATTCTCACGACCACAGCATTCTTAGAATTTTTGTCGTCAAAGCGTTTACAACAAACTTTACAACACGTTTGGTTCCCTTACCAGGCTTGCTATTCATCAATGACAATAATATGTACGAAACTCATAAAACACCCGACTCCTCAACTTAGACCATTATGTCATACATGTTTTGCCTAAAATAAATGGCAAACTACACAAAACAGCTTTCACTTGTCGACATAAAAAAGTTGTGCATAGAAAGTATTCATAAAATGACATACTGCAACTAAGAGGAATCCCACCAGATACAGACTGAAATGTATTTAACAGCAATGTTTTGAACGACACTATCTATGGTATGACATACTATCTCAAGTTTTACCTGGAAATTTGTTCCTCTAGTAAAAAATTATTTCTGCGCTTCGACCGTATATCTTCACAAATTAAGACAGTAAGAAAAGAAAAAGAAAGGTTATATAAAGTAAGCGGTAACGCTGGTGTTCGTCGCTTGGACTTTTTCAATAAGGTTAGAAACTGAACGTCTGAATCTTCTATACGACCATGAACGTTTGCTATGGAAAAGCTCTTCCAGCATGTGGAAACTTTCCTATGACCCCGCTGGCAGTAAACACCATAGTAAAGAAGTATGTGTCGATGTCTGGAATTTTTAAAGCATACTTCAGCATCTGATTCTGTCCCAAAACTTCTTTTGTTGGAAAAGCAGTGGTCATATTACTTAGTTCTGAGTATTTAACTGCGAAAGGAAGCAGTATGCTATTCACAGGGGGAAACTGTCCATCTCATTACTTACTGAGGCTGGTGTTGTCCAAGCTGCTAATTTTTCCTCCTGTTCTTCTTAACTTCTTTCTGTGTGACTTTCTGCCTCCAGCTAGCATCATTTTATCAGGTATACTGATGACTTGACAGTTTCCTTACCTATCAGTTCTTCATCTGATTGTTCTCAACTAAACTACTTCTCATCTATAACTGGTCTGTGGTCCTCTATGAATGTTCTTTTGCCTGATTCTTCAAAATATCAGAATGTCACTATTAGTTTCAAACGCGAACATGACCAGTACAAACTGCTTCAGTCTGGTGTTTCTTGTTCGATTGATCACTATGTATTGGAGAATCTTGGAAGTATGACCTATCTCGGCGTGTTTTTCTTCTAATCTTATTCGGTCTTCAGATATCTTGCTAATTTGTTGAAGAATTTTCCTCCTAACTTACCACATTGGGAAGCTGAAATTATCTACCTCTTCTATTGTGTCTTATAAACCCATGCATCTTGTCTATTCTGCTCATTTGCTCCCCTTTATTTTTCCCTGGGTTGCAGAAGAAAGACTATGCTATAGTGAGTAGAATGTTGAAAACTGTCAGCAGAACCAGTGGTGCACTCCCGAACCTTCTAATTTACACTGGTGTGAAGAGACATTTTAACTCATACACACATCTGGAAGAAGCTATTTTATCGGAGGACCAGGTCTACCTCACTCAAAGCTATCTACGTATCAGTCCTCATGCAAGACCAGGAGTAAGTCTTTAAGACTTTATGGAAGTACTACGAAGCATAAACTTCTGCCATACCGTAGTTAGCTTGTATCTTGTGCAAGGAAGAAAGTGTTAGAATCAAACCAACTAATCAACTCTTTCTTAAAGCAAGCTAATTAAAGGTTATGTAGCCTTATGTTATTTAAGTAGGATGAATCTTAGCGTTAATATGACTGCTTAATTAAGTTAACGGTGCCCTTTTTGACATGTGTAACTTATACTTCATTTTATTATGTTTGTGTATAAACTATTTCTGTCCAGCTGATACTATATGAAATGCAGAAAATTCTATATGGTATTCTCAAAATATCTTCCACAATAAAGCTGTTATTATTTTTATTATCATTACGTTCATACCTCTCCGGTCACTTCATTGAACACGTGAAAAAAGTCATCTTCAGCTTCCGATCAGTTATACCAAAACGTGCAGCAACACCTATTTTTTGAAAACGAAAGCGAAAATCACCAACCGAAAGTTCGAAATAAAAGTACTGAATGTTGAGTCAACACACATTTATTCAAACAACTGTCACATACATGCGAAATTATTGAAAATTATGTTTCACTGAATGTACTTTCAACAGTGAGCATCTCTTTTTCAAAAATGTATTCATTTCATATTCTATGTAGTGCACATTTCGATGATCACTGAAAATATTATCATTAGTGTTATTTACGAAGCTGTTTCATCAGTTCTTCAGCTGCCTTCTTGGCCTAAAGTGAGAAGTGCAATGAGGAGAGCATAGAGGAGACCATGCAATGATCAGAAATGTGTTAAGAAGTGTATAAACTCTTATCAGTTTGTATTTACTCACCTCTTGGGCTTCAACATGCTGTGCAGGATGATTTATTATTTTCTGACAAACCTCCTTCACTTTGTCCTTTTTTCCAAGACGCATATAACACTTAGCCAAGTATTCCAGAGTAAATAATGATTTATTTGGAGCCACTTGAATTGAGGAAAGCGAAAAACAAATCAGATGTGTTACATATTGATTCATTAGAAAAAGCATTTCCTTGCACTCACACACATACTACTTACGTTCTTCACACTTCAACATATGTTCTAATCCCTATGAAAATAGAAAGCAGAAATCAGAAAACTCGATTTAGTATTTACTTTTTGATACGAGAATTCGTTTCCTGTGTAGTCGGTTCCCTTAAATAATTCGGGTTTTGAGCTATGGAGCTCTGTCAATATATAATGCCTTGAATAGAAATGAAGCAAACAAGATAAGAGTACTTACCACACTCCAAGACTGCTTTCTGTTAAGAAATTATTTGGATCGATTTGATGAGATTTCTGTGAAAAAAGTTACTGATGTTATTTTCGTTTTTCAAAGTATCAGTAGTGGTATCATTGTCAACTAAAAATGACTGTATAAACTCACCATCAACAATTCATATAGTTCTTTACTATTTCGAATTCTTTCTTGTATTCCCTTCAGATTCCCAAGCTCATCGAGCATAATGCCATACCACTTCACATAAAAGTTTGGGAATGAATGACTTTTAAATTAAAAAAGGGAATACCGTTAGGGAATTTGCATGATTAGGATCTACTCTAGTAGCACGTTTGGCAGAATTCATGCCTTCTATCACGTAATGTTCACAGATTTCTCTACTTGGTTTAACTGAAACATAGTAAACTAATGGAAATCACAACAAAACATTCATATAATGACAATATGTGGCAAGGAAATACCAAGAAGAAAACACACTTGAGCTTTTCTCCATAGCAGTTCTACTTCATTGTACGTTTCCAGTGCTTTAGTTACACTGTCATAAGCTTCCTGAAATTTTCCTTGTGCAACCAATGTATCTACTTCTTTAACAGCAGCCTCCATGTCCAATTTTAGTTGTCTGTATTTGTTAAATATAACCTGATTTATATTGTAGTGAAAGGTTATTCTCACCAATCAGAGGTAGCTGGTTATTTGTTTGTGTTTCAGCATATACTTGTTGCACTACTGAAAAATCTGTCACCATTCAAACAGTCTTTACATCCGATAAAAAATTCATATCTTGATAATTATGTGTTTACGTTGATTAGTCATGTGATACTAGAATGCTGGTGGTTTGGTCAGAAAAGTTTTGTACCTTAATTACACTATCATTTTAAGTGGCAACAAGAGAAAAACAAATAAAAAACAATCTACCTCGATTTAACATCAGTTTTAATCGATTTTCTTGCTTGATTGAAGAATTGTTCATTTGAGGAGTAATCAGTTTGGCATAATAATACATTTCTTATTAAATCGCACTTCATGATTATTGTTCTTTGGTGACTAATTGGTGTTTTTTAGTGCTTTTGTAGGCTGTCTGAATCTGTAGAGTAACCACAAAATAATGTAAGAAGCTATTTCATTCTGTGAGTCTCATCCCTCTTACTTTAGTAAAACTTGTAAGTTCACTAATAACATGTAGATTCAGTCATCCAGAGGGACACCTGAATATTTATTATAGTTAAACTTCACGCATGATGAGTGATACACTTATTAATGATAAAGTAGGTTGTTTTCGCTGCTTATTTTCACGTTGAATGCCAGTTCTGTACATATCGTGACATATAATATAAACTTCTAAAATGATATTCATCATGGACTAACATCAGTTGGAGAAACACTGAAAATCTTGGAGAACTGGACAGCCGTTTTGTCCCAGTATAGGACTCCTCAGTAGTGTACACCCATGACTTCATCGGGGTTTGAGCCCAGGACCTTCACGTTTTGCGACCATCACAGTCACTAGCTTTAAGAGGGAATTTCTGAAGTCGTAGTGAGTTGTGACCGTTGGGCAAACCTAGTGGACGTGACGGAAAATACTCAACGATGACACTGTGTGATGGTTACTCTATGTCGTGAACGGACAGAAGTTGGGAATACCAACCATTCCATTCCAATCCAGTGGCTCAATGGTAACATATTGGCACGGAACCTAAAGATCGTGGGCTTGACCCCTGATGGGGTCATAGGTATGCACAGCTGAGGAGTCCCATACTAGGATGAATCGGCTGTCCAGTGCTCCCAGATCTTCAATTCTTCTTCAACTGACGTCAGTCCATGAAGAATGCCAAGGTAAAATCAATAAATCCCTACAAACGCCCAAACTGAATGAAATATAAGTATCTTTCATGCTAGGAAAGAAACAGTGCTATCTTGTGTCACGCTGACTCTTTAGATATACCTAATATTTGGACATTGACATTAAGAAATGAGATTTGTTTATTAAATCTGATGTATCAATGAAAGGAAGCAGCTGGTTTATAAATCAACATTCTAAGTAACTGGCCTCAGTCACAGATGTTTTTGGAACTTTTACAAACAACAGTGTTGATACCATTTCAGGGGTGTATATTTCAGCAAATAATCTCAAATCTATTTTACAAGTAAAATAGGCTCACATTGCAACAGTTCAAATGAAGCTAATCGAAGCTTTGATACTGAAGTAGTGCAATCAGTTTGCACCAGGTGCTTAGCCAGAAAAAAATATCAAAGTATTACCATTTCTGTAAGTGCACTCACCTATGACATCATGTTCGGTCGTATACTCGATTCATGGTTTGACCAATGGTAAAATGCTTTTTGTCATGAATCTTCTATATTCGATGACACAGTCAAAGTTCACTTACAAGTGCTAGTAATGTTTCCAATTGTCATGATTACCCACCAATGATCACTTAGTGCATGGTGGTATAGGGAATCGTGAATGTCAAAAATTCAATACCAGCCAGCTTGCTATCTTCAATTTTTCTCTCTTACTTTCATTCATATTTTGAATAAGACCGAAAACTCTGATGTAGATTTTTTCATGTGACAATCAAGACACCCAATAAAATAGGAAGGTGGTGTCAGCTGAATGGCAACACGTTTAATAGTTTGAGTCACATTAAATTCATTTTATTTGGGTGTAGTAAATTTAGTCCTTAGTAAAACACAAGGACTTCCAGTCGTATTCAGCAAGTAAGCTTTTATTAAGTGTCTGGCACAGTAGTTCATCACATTTTATCATACTCTATCTATTCAAGAAACTTAAATGTTGGTTGTATAACAATCTTTGTTATAAAGAATATTTACTCTTCTCCTCAAATCTAAAGAGTGACTCCTTCAAATGTAGGTTATTCAATCAAACTGAAAACAATTTTGTAACAATTAATTTCCTTTTTGATAGGAAGGAAAAGTAGGTTAGTTTGTAAGTTAATGGTAATAATATTTGCTACACAGTTTAATTTCAGTGTAACCAAGGCAAGTCTTCATGATTTTCCGTTGATTCACCTCATATGTTAGGAAATTATTAAAAGAACTTGGAACCTGGAAGCATCCATCTTTCAAGTTACTGGATATTTACTCAAGTTTCTCTGTTAACAAAACTAAATGTGAAGCTTATATCTAACTCAGGGAATCCTATCCCCTAGACTGCATTTACAGTGTCTGATATACACCTATACACCTTAAAAACAGTGGATATCTTTCGACTCGTTATTTAGTATTCATACACTTCTTCAACAGTACTTATCCTCAAGGAGAATAAATCTCTTCGTTTGTGGGCGAATAATCCACCTAGATCGAATTATGCTTTAGAGGATCGAACTGATCTGTTGCTTATAAAGGGAGATTTGTTAAAAAAACTCAGTAATGAAAAATGACTTTCTGTAAGTGATCTTGCAGATGCATATCTTCAAAGTGAAATTCAAGCAAGCCACAGAAGACTACTGATAGCCAACACCAAGCAGCCTCCTTACCAGTTTTCTTCTCTGTTATTAGATATCAATCCAGTGGGTGCAATTTCTGGTAGACTACAGACACTATGCTCGTAAATCAAACTAGGCTTGAAGTTATATCACCAAAGTAATCATTAAGAAGGAATCTAGTGAATTTGAAGTATGGGATTGACCTGATTATCTCCTATTGTGACAGAAAAGAATGTATGATGGGTTTTATCTAAAAGAAGATAAGTATTCTGGCAAAACTTCATTGTCTGAATATAACAACAAATCACCTATTCCTTGACTTAGGGAAATGAAATTGGTCTTCTGAGTTTCAAATTCCATTTTATAAGGTAGCAGCGTTGCGTACATCAAATATCCTGCAGTCTAACTGTTGAGATTGTTGTTGTGGTAGATACTTCTGTTTGCGGTATTGGTGCTGGTAAACCTGAAGATTTTCTTGATGGTAGTCAAACTGGTGTTTTGTATTCTTCTAGAGCTATGAGTTCTGCAGAAGACTCATGCAGTCAAGCTGGAAGGTGAACACTGGTACCTGCTTTTTCCGTGAAGTTTCACAACGTGATACATGGGCAGAAGTTTACGCTAGTTACTGACTGCAAGCCCTTACTGTTGCTGTTTTGAAGAGGGATTTTTCACTTCCCACATAGAACCCTCTTAATAGGTGAGTTGTTATGATATTGAGATACGATTTCAACATCAAGTGGCAATTCCTACTAATCTTCATACTTACTTCCTCCAGCAAAGAGATGTTTCTATCTTTGGGATCATGAAAACGAGTACAATAGCTTGCCATTATGTGTATCGGCGACACATTTATACACAGATCGAAAATGTTGTTCACTAGCACAAAATATCTTCCGAAGCACCTAGTCACTCATAGAAGACATAACTATGTTCACGTACGCCATCAAAAAATCTGTGGCTTTTACTGCATCTTGATTTTACCTTACTATTTCAATAAACAAACCGTTTCGGTATGTGCTGACATCTAGTACAGAAGGCCAGAAATTTTTTCATCTGAAGAGCATCATTTTTAGCTGAATGGTTGTCCTGTTTATTTAGTTATTTCTCTGTCTGTTTTCCCTGCTTTTCTGGCCTCAGGTTATGATACTCAATCCTATTCATCACTGCTTCCTAATTTTTGTGGTAAGATTAACAGAGCATATTCTTACCCGTCCATTTCACACTCAGTTGGTCAAGCAGAAATACTTGTTCGCAACTTCAAGCAAGCCTTCTCAATGTTAAAATGGAAAGATCTTTGAAGATATTGTAGGTAAATGCTTACTATTCTGTTGTTTGTTATCGAATCCATTAACCCAAAATCGGTTATTCTTAACCGAGATTATATCACTTTAGAAAGTCAGATGGCTTTGTAACATATGGAACCCGGGTGAACTGACCAGCGGGAGAAAAAGCAGATTATCTCCATCACGGCGAAAAAACGTCGAGTTTTAAAGTAAATAAAATAGGCATGCGTTCGTGATTTCGGTTATTCATCACTAAAGTAGACTGTTACACAAATGACCGGCAGAAAAGCCAATGTATTGCACAAAGTTAACAGGGAAAAACAAATATCAATCAGACGCTTAAGCGATATTTAGTAAAAGGCAGTCTAAAATAAGCAGCAGAATACGATGCTTGAATTTTTTAAGCATAGCAATGAATGGATAACAGCCTCCCTCGATTCCAGAAAAAAATCACTGAGTCAAAGAAGCAATCAAAGACCTAAAGAGATTGACGAAGGAAGTCATGAAGAGTTAACTGACTGATAATAGTGATAAGATATGGTTTAACAGAAACCAGCGTTTGCATAAACAATCCAGTCACGAATGCAATCAGTTATTCCATGTCTTTAGTATAAAGGAATTCGGGTTAAAACTACCAGAAGAACATAAGTTTTCTCTTGTTTTCTGAAGAGTAACGAAAAGCAAGTATTCTGGGTTCAGAGAATCCCACCAATCGAATTTTGCCATCCAACACTGAAATTTTGGCTTACTGCCTGCACGTACGACTAAGTATTGCAAAGTTAAGATTCACTGTCATATTTATCTAATCATCGAGTAGGTAATATCTATAAAATTTTATCCACAATTTCTAGTACACCATACAGAACAATCCAGTATTCACAACAAACTTACTAGTTTCCCCCACTCAATAACCAATCAACTATGTTGTCCAGCATCTCAAATATATGCTCATTCGTTTGCGTGTAAACAAGCAGCCACAAGTAATCCATCGATATCTGTCCACGCCTTA